TTACTGACTTGTGCCCCCAGAGTCTCTGCACTTTTTGTTTTATAATGTGATCTGGGCCAATGTTAAGTCCTCAGTTTGGCCTAACAGGTTAACAGTCTGCAACTCAAGACATAGAGCTACAGGAATATTCACACACCCACTTACAGATTAGTCACTGAGCAAGTACACATGTGTAAAATTTTGAAAAGAACAGAAAATTTCTCTTATAAGGGCACAGTGAGAGCAGGCTGAGATGTTATCATGTGGAACAGAATCTATTACTCTCAACTGCATGCCAAGGTTAATCCCAAGGTTAACAAACCTTTGCATATTTCATTTCTATTGTGGACAGTTTTATTCCACAGTGACAGAAAAGTTTTATATTTACAACTCTAGCAAAGCTTACTGTAATAAAAGGACAGAGGCATGCGTCTAAAGATAGTGAGTGTCAATCCCATGAGACTCGCTATGAAAAAAGCTCGAGAAGACAAAGATGGGCGCTGCTTCTCAGCTCTAGCTCCCAGATCAACACAATAAATCCAAATCTGGCCGACGGTGGGGGAGATTCACCTTACAGAGAAGAATCACAGACCTACGGATACTTCTTAGACTAAGAATATCAAACCTGGGCCCTTACAAAGATTCTACAGGATTTCACAATGAAGGAGATGAAACAGCAGTTTTGTTCCAGTTAAACCAGGTATGGAAGTGACAACACAACAGATCAAAGACACAACAGTCCTGAGCACAGCTTATGTTAATAACCATGAAACTCTGCTAAAACTGCGTACAGCACAGAAGGCCTCGTTAAATAGAGCAGACTAAAGCCTAAAAATGCTATAATAGGCAAATTTCTGACCACACAATAAAGTATGATCGTTTAGAAAATTACAGACACCATGGCATTAGACAGTTTGTGTAACATTCACAAATCTGTTTTTATTACTAGATAAATTATACTTTCATGGCCAAGTTCAGTGTGACAATATACTACAAGCACAACATTTATTATAATATTCATTTATTTGACAAATACTCACGCACTATCACTGTTTGCTCCTAAATCTGCTTCAAAGATAGGAATCAACTTTTTTTTTTTTTCAAAATTAGAAAAAAATACTGCTATTATTATTATTATCATTATTCTTAATATTATTATTAGCACAGTAGTTTATCTGTAAATACATCTGTTGGCACGTTAGCCATTAGTTATGTCATTAGTGATGTTTTTGAAAGCATCAGCAGATGTATTTACAGAGATAATGCTAGTAATAGCAAATTTTTTCTTTCTTCCACTTTTAGTGGAATGTATGACTTAAATAGTAGTGAAACATAGACTATGCAAACAATACACAAAGCTTTTTGTGGATTTTCATGCCTGAGATTATTATTTTGCCCAAAAAAAGGGCATGTTTATCTGAACATCAATATAATCGGTTTGTGTTGATTTCTAAAAGATATAATAAATTATAATCAATTATAACATTCCAAAACTGATGCAGTTAAGGCTGTCCTTTCAGATCGATGCGTTTTACTGCCCTATGACATAATCTATGGTGAGTGCTGCACTGGGTCAATTAGCTCCTTTGAGTTTTTGTTTTGTTTTGGCGGGGCAGTGACTTATCCATGCTCACAATCGTGAGTGGGCAACGGCCTGGCGGCGTGAGGAGGCAGAGAGGAGGAGGATCAGTGTGGGGTGGAAAGAGGATAAGCTGCAGATTTGAGCTGCTGCTCTGGCTCCAAGGCTAAACACACGCTCTCTCTCTCTGGCACCAGGCTAGCCAAGTAGCCAGGCCTGGGGTGAGGACGCCTCCAGTGAGGGTGTCTGGAGCGGGATAGAGCCTGCAGGAAGGGCAAAGAGGAGGCAGGGAGGAGCCCGTCGATCCCTAAGCCGCTCTGCTCCGCTCAGCAGCACATGTGCTGAGTGCGCCGTATAAGGTGGCTTACAACCACAGGTCAGCGCCAAGGGCAGGGCAGTTGAAAGGTCAGTACAGGCTGGTTCTTAAGGCTAAGCAGTCGCAGCACACCAGCCACGCTCCACTAACTCAGCAGAGGGAGTAAACATCTGCTGCACCTTACAAAGGGAATCTGTTGCTATTGTTCGTCCTTTTCAGTACGTATTTGCGGAACTAGTAATGTTGCACAGCGCAAGTTAGGTTAGCGTGGAGGTGTGGAGGGGATCAAGCATGTCATGGAAATGAGAATTCCAAGTGCTCCGGCGAGTAATTAGGTTTGTGTCTGGGCTACGACAAAGATATCGGTTTAAAACTGCATATTAAATGTAATGAAAGAGTTTTATGATTCACAAAACTTGGTTAAGGTCATAAACACATGATCTACAGACTTCAGACACGGGTTCTTTAAATCAGTGGAAAATTCGTCCTCTTTCCCATAATAAAATTCTAATTTTACTGAACACTCACAATATGAGCAATTGTTTTAATTGGGAATTTGATACAGTGGGTCTGTGGCATTAGATGACTACAAGCGTTTTATTAAACCTATCCAACCTCCAGCATTCATCACTGTTAAATAAAATGAAACCTTTTTAGCATACAGTATGTTCACATATTAGAAACTCTTAGTGAGATTCAGGCTTGATATATGGAGAAAGCACAGCAGGGTTTCAGACTCAGTTTAAGAACAGTGTCAGGACAGGAGTGCAGAATCTCCTAATTTATTCCAAGATTATGTTTAATCTGTGTCTGGAAAAGCTGCCACTAGTTTTACAAGTATTTGGACTGGTGCACTTTACTTGTTCCAACACGCAGATGACCATCAGATGACCATCAATTCATGACTATCCAAAAGACGTTTCCAGGTAATGAAAAATGGAGCAGCAAAAATACATTCAGCTGACATGTGTCTAGCCAGATAATTCGCCGCTGAAAGCCCCTCTCACATGTTCTTGTTTAATTATAACTTTGAGCCTCCCTGGTCCCCCCTCTCAAGCCCTCCAGAAAATGTAAGAACACTGGATATAAGTGTTTAAATATGATTTGATAAATATTCACTTTGAAACCTTATCTGCATGTCAGAAAGTGAGCAGTATTTATAAAGCGCATGTGGTGCAGAGGCCTGTGCCAAAGTTGCTCGCTAATCCCCAAGCCAATGGGTTTGGAAGTCATCATCGCTACATATTAAGGGCCTACCTAATAAAGTTAAAACTGTGGAGCCTAAGAACCTGATAGATGGTTTTATTTGGCAAGTGCTGGGGAAACCTATTTACGAGCTGTAACAGGCCCAGGTTTGTGCGAAGGAAGGAGAGGGCAGGAGGAAAAAAAAGTGACGAGGAGCTAATATTTTGCTACATGTCTTAAGCGATGATCTTTCTGTTTGCCTAGCGTGTTTCTCGTATCCTGGGGTAACCTATTTAGCATCAAACGTGCGGCGAGGTGGCGCGGCGGTGGGACAGGAGGCAGCCAGAGGTTTCTGGTTTTGGAGCCGCTCCTTGGGGCTGATTGCTGGGTGACCCCGCTGGGACACCATACATTCCGCTTGGTTAGCAAGCCGATCCAAAAGCCACAGATAATAGAGAGGGAAGTCAGCAGTGGCTAAATCACCACGAATTTATGCGTTCAGCAGCCATGCATATTCATAGCTCTGCTGCCCTTTTCAGCAATAGAAGCTGCTTCATTTATACCGTTTTCTTATTCAATAAAAGATCCTCAGAGATGTTTCCTGGAGGAAGAAAAAACAAAAGTCTGCGTTGCCCACACAAGCAAAACTATGGCTAAAACATTATCTGCTGGGTTCAAGATTCTGCATCCTGCCTCCAGGTCTCGCGGGAGAACGCTGGAATCTCCAGCTCAATGATGGTGCTCCAGTAAACAATGAATCACGTCGGCCCTGAGCATGCGCGAGTGAGAGGCAGAGCTGTTGAAACAAAAAGAAGAGCTAGCGAGAGTTTCACAGACAAGAAGCTGAAGTATGGCATTCTTTACAGCTGATTTGGGAAATATTTGGAGCACAACTGCCAAAGTGCCTTCACACTTTACTCTGAGAAAAAGCACAGGCCCTCTACAGGGGTAGATGAGTGAGTAATGACAATGACGTGTGCAGAACAGAGTCTGTGACTGCTGGGGGACAATAGCTTCGCATAGTTCATTTAGGTGTAAATCAACCCCACACTGTCAAACCGCACTCAAAAGTGAAGTTATAATCAATTTCTTAAACCTTTAAACCCAACAGGCCTCAATGTGGGTCCACAATTCAGTTCCTCAATCCCATAACTACATAGCCTGCACTAGTTTCACAGAAGTTACTGAATCATTCATAGAAGCTACTGAATGCATTTTAAGATTAATAACCGAACAATAAGCCTAGGGTTCGAGGGGTTCGATTTTTTTCTCTGATAGGTCTGACTGAACTTTACAACAAGCATTCAGGTGACATGCAAGTTATAAAATGATTTACTAACAATTTTTGTAGTGTTTTGTAATGCTTATAAAATAGCTTGTAAAGCACTACATCAAAGTCGCACTAGAGGTCATCATTCTAAAACGGCTGGTTAAATGTAAGTGCATATAATCACCCCCAATTATGAGACTATTAATGAGTTGCATTTCACACAAGTAGGCATATGGACTTCTCTGTGCATCTCCATCAACTAAAATGCATCTGCGGCTAGCCTTGTGATTGAACAATGAATCCTTTGCCAGCTGCAGCTGACGCAAATTAGACACTCGAGAGCAGGGTGTTGGACTCAGTGCAGCCAACATGTAGACTGCTGAAATGTGTATGTGAATAGGGCAACTGTTTTGCAGTCAACTACTAAAGCTCATCACTGTATTGGAAGACAAGGCCGAAGATTCACGCTGCATCCTATATTGACTCAGCCCACTTTGCAGCCACAAAGGACTATCATTCACTTATCACCATTATATCACGTTTGGCTTTACTGCATTCAAAGCACAAAGAGTGCGGCAGTGGACTTGTTAAAAACTTGTGCCACAGTGCAGCGTCTAAGTATTCACGCATTGCCGCTTCACAGAAACAAAAACAAAAAAAACAGGGCTCACCCAACGATCAAAGCGCTGATAACCTTTCGTTCTGGCCCCAGAATATCCAGCACGACTCTTGCTCTTGCTCTTCCTTCCTTTCTCAGTGCTTCACTCTGAGCTTCCTGCTGCTTTCTTCTCCTTGGGAAAGAAATTTTCCTAGGAGGTGGGATGGGGGGGAGGTGAAGGGAGAAGAAGGAGAGGAAAGTGTTGCGCTCAGTGATTCAGAAGCAACGGTGTAAACGCCAGCCTTCTCCTTCTGACAGCCAGCGTTAATTGCAGATCAGACTCGCCCACACACTCCAGCCTCACTCCCTCACCCTCTCTCTCTCTCTCTCTCTCTCTCTCTCTCGCCCTCACTTTTTCTCTCTCTCGTTCTCTCTCACGCTCTCTCTCCTGGAAGAAGCTGAGAGCAGACTGTTAGATGGGGAGAGTGCTGTGAAGAGCACGGCAAGAGACGCTCGACCTGCCCCCCCCCTACTCACACACATCCAACCCGTGCCACACCAATCACCACCTCTGGAGTTTCACTCATAACTTTATTTCATACTCAGCGACCTCACGCACCAACAGCCATGCAAACAAAACAAGATGCAGAAAATGATTTCAACAGCATATGTTTACGCAGGTTTTCACTGCATTTTGCCCAACAGTAATGCCTGATGGTATTGGTAAACATTTCCCAAATATATTACTGTATTAGATGATATTTAAATTTGGATGAATAAAGTTATAGGGATGCATGATGATACGGGAATCATACTGGATTTGACAGATAATTGTTGTAAATGAAAGGACATATTAATTGCATTTCAGAAGTGCAGAACATTTAAGCAATACTGGGTTACTGTGCTAAGATATCTGCATTTAATTCATTTTACAGAATGTGTAACCCTATAAAGAAATAAATGGTATATTCCTCTGTAATGCTTAACCAGGTATATGTACTCCCAAATACTACATTTTATGTTTACAGATCACCACGTATGAGCATCAACACTTGAAACATATCTGATGTACAAGAAAAATATCAGATATTGGCACAAGCCTGGTATCAGGGGGTCATTTAGTGGGACAATTAATCTTCACGCCCCACTAAACCCACTACTATTTATACATGCTTCAACAGTGGCAGGTGGCAAAAAACAAAGTGAAACTAAACTGCTGCTTTCCACGTGCACCCAAAATAGATGGTTACATTGATTAACATAGGACAGTTTGCATGCATCACTTTGTACTGGATGCATTTTAGAGTTGCGCTGCATGTTGTGGAAAGACAAATTTGCAGATTTCCTAAATGGGTAGAACTTTGGTGATTTGCTATAAATGTAGCTCTCCTGTTTATTCTCTCCTGTATGTGTGTCAGATCTACCACACATTTATTTCCCTGTATTTTCCTTTATTTATTTATTTTTGTCCCCATACTCCCGGAAAGCTGGTGCTCTGTGATGAAAGAATGGTGTAGAAAGCTTGCTTTGAATGGACTGTTTTGTTCTGCTTTATTTGTCTTAAAAATACAACAAATAAAACTTTACCCAGTATTGTAAATCACATTTCCAGAAAACATACTTTTTAGTTTTTAAGTATGATGAACTACTTTTTGAAACTAAAATCTGAAACAACCAGCAAACGATATACACTGCAGTTAACTAAGCTTTTGTTAACTATCAACAACACTAAAACTAAAAACTATTATTGCTATGTATACTGGTATAAATGATATATCACCCAACACTAACTGACAGTAATCAGCAGTATAATCATCATTACATGACACAACTCGATTATGGAAGAATTTTGTGGTTACTAAGTTTCCATTCTATGCGGGAGAGTTGTGGGGGTGTATTTGAACCATACAGACCAGCAGTTACTGTGAGATGGCTGTACACACGTTACTCCTCCATGCACCTCATCAGCACGCAAAGTACATAATCCACAGGGAGACTACATGATAATGGGCACATGTATTGGAGTCCTGTGTTATTACTTTAAGGCTATGAACAAGCTAATGGAGAAGGATCGGAGAGAACTTCAGCCAACTACATCTGCAGTCGCGAACAGACTATCGGGGATGTAATGTGAATGCAATCGATGTAAAAAAAAAAAGTGAAAAAAAAATAAAATACTTGAGCTGAGACCAGAAATAGACACTCAATAAAAATGTACAACGAGGTCTTTATATCCATGCCAAGATGCCTACCACCTCTAAAAAGGGTGCTATTTCCATTAACCACCAAGTTAGGCATACCTCATAAGGTGAGCAAGGATAAAAACTTGTGTAAACTGTCTTCTTTATCTCTACATCTTGGTCTTATACAAAGACATTGACTGAGAAGAAGATAATATATCCTCAACCATTTCTAGCAAGTTTTTTTTATGCAAAAGTAAATTTATTACACACAAGTAGGCATAATAGTATCACTTTGGCCTAGGTGCAAAAGTTTTAGCAGGTCTAGCGAGGGAGGGCTTTGTCAGTTATAGCAAAGAGCATGAATGAGAAAAACATGTGCTTTATCTCTTGATATAGTGTGAAAATGCATCACCGCTGAGTTTCATAGACATGGTTGGTGCTGCGGGCGCAACCAAAGCAAGTTTGGAAATTATTAATTGGTTATGATAAGTGATGAGTGTTGGGATTACGTATAAAGTAAAAAAAGCCCTTTCTTCACAATGTAATATGGCACTGATAAACAAAACAAAAGAAAAAACATTTGTAATAATTAAAACGATGACAAAATAATATTATATTTATTAATGACTCAATCCAGTTTCATAACAAAGATTCAGAATGGAACTGCGCCCTTCGCAGATTACATCAAATATTCCAGTTATGAAATTATGATGTTTGATTTCTACTTGATAACGTTCTTTCCTGCTTGTTTACTTTAGTGTGTCAGGGCTTGGGCGCCGCTCCAACACATCCACTCCAGCTCTAATTTGGAGCAAGTACGCGTGCTCAGAAGCTATTATCTGCCATTCAGTTCAGATCACTCTTATAAAACAAAGCGCTCCAACAATCTATTATCTCATCTTTCCGAGAAGCTGAAAAATTGTGCGTCCACTGTCGGACGAGGCCCCAGCCCTCTCTGAAGCGAAATAGCCAGCGTGACAGGCAAACACTGCTCCTAAGGTCATTTTCATGACTGTGTACCATGACCTGATTGCCTGCTTCATGTAATTACTGGCTTAGTCAGGAGGAGCCCGTTCTCTTCCACAGCAAAATAACCCTGGATGAAATTCATTTAACCTGCCTAAAAAAAATACCCTGCAAAATTATATTTCTTAGTGGTTACAAAGTACATATTATATAATTAACACAGGCTTGAAATTTTAACAGCAAGGTCAAAATAAAGGTCATTTTGTCAAGGTTTGGAAGAAGTCCTAATGTGAAGCGGTTACACCCTTCAAAGGTAAATTATATGGTATTTTGGAATGGGGTGTGCAATCTTCAAGACATAATCACTTACAATAAGTCTTTTGCCTGTGGGTGATTAAGCACATCTCAGACGGGGCGTACCGGACTGCAATTTTAGTTGCATTTTCAGAAAATGTTTCTTTAAACCTAATGAAAATACAGATATGAAAAACTCAAGGGATTTTAATTTATTTGGGAGTTTCTGCAGTTCACGTTGTGCCGACAGGTCTTAGTATAACTCTCTAAAAATAAGTCACTTACACAAAAAAGTAATATATAAAAAAAAATACTTTATATTGTATTTATATGTTATTTATTATTAATATACTTTATTTGTATAGGGTTATATGCTTGTGCACAAGTTTAAACTGACAGTAAGTGCAAGCATGGGGGAAAGATGTTCCCTCTATATTCAAATTTACACCGCAAAATCACCACCTTTACTCTTATAGAGTCCAAAATGAACAGAGTAAGAGTTATTTCAACACTTTTGATTTTACTGCAGACAATACTGCTGGTTCCTAGCAACAATCGTCAGTTTATAAGAACAGCAGCATTTCACTCATATTTGACAGTGCAAAGGTCACTAAGTTTCCTACAGTCATATTAAGGACCATGAATAAGAAAGTCATTTTCAGCTTACTGTAGGCAGCTATTTAGAGCTGTCACTCAAAGCTAGGCCTGGTTGGGCCTCTGTATTTTTCCTCACACTAGTTAGTCACTAATAATAACACTTACTCTACAAACCATGCCTTTGAAATGAATTAAACTGAGTAAGTCTGTTGCAGTGCATCCCTTGCGGATGTGTCGGGATCACTCGGCTGAGTATGAGGCGGCCCTCTGGCTAATACTTAAGACAGGCCAACATTATGAACAACATTAAATCAAATTAGAAATTAACATGGTATTACAGTGTAATTGATGGCACCAATTAGCACTGCTCTCCAGAGACACCACGATTGTTCGCAAGCATACAGCGGATGGAGGGTTTTCACTAAAGCATGCCAGCTGAACACTTATGTGACACTATGTGCCGGGCCGCACAAACACTGACCAGCACCATCTAGTTGAAGAAGTGATCTGGAGCCCGCATGCTCATGCCAAGCATTGTTCATTTTATGGAGCATTATGAAATACATACATACTTTGAATATGGTGCACGTCTGTTCAAACAGTAAATACAGTAAGACATTTCTACTGTAAATATAACATCAGGTATAAAAAAGAATCATTTACCTATATCAAAACTTAACAGTGGCCAAACACAGTATATGGGACTTGTTTTAAGCTCTGATCTGCCGTAGCTGTTAAAACTATCACAATTTAGCATGCAGTCATGCAGTTTGGTGACAACTTCAACTTCTCTTCCCGAATGGAGAAGACCCCCTTGTCCCATGTACTGAAGACAACAATCTTACAGTCCGTTCACTCTGAAACTCAGCATATAAAGTCTGAAGCACAAAGTAATGGTTTTATGAGGAAGGCTGGCGTGTCTCATTATCTGACTGATGTGTCCTCTTCTGTCTCATTTGCAAAGACATGACGCACGTAAACAACTGCATAACAAACACCGCGAACAGACAGACAGTTGTATTTTGTGGAAGATATGAATAAGAGCGATAACCTTAGTGTAGTCCACTGGAGACCACAACGTTAAAAACACGAATCTACGCAGAGACAGAGAATTGCGTACACGCGAAGAAGAAGAAAAAGAAGAAGGAAAAACACATTCTCCACACGAAAGTTCTTAAACACGCAGCCAAACATTCCTGCGTGTTTTTCGTCAATTTCTGACGAACAAATGATCCGAACGGAAAACTGTCCTACTCTAACCGCTCCGTGAACTACATGTAGTACTGTACGCGTTTCATCTGTGCTCCTAAAAGGCACTCCACGACTCCCTCTTGCGCTTTCTCTCCCTCTCTCTCTCTCCCTCTCTCTTCCACACCAAGTCCCTCTCTCCTGTGCAATATTGTTGCTATTTTTGCTACTCACCTTTTTTCCTCCACACTCCCTCGCTGTATATAGATACTTGTGTATCAGAGAGTCCTGTGGACGCGGTGTGACACCGGTGTATTTTCAGTCACATTGGCACACGGGCTTCTATTTTCGGGAGCTGACAAACTCCGAAGAAGCAATCTCTTGTCAAAGAGAGGCTCCTCCCCGACTCTGACGAACAGCAGACGAAAGTCAGTCAACCTCCTCCCTCCTCCTCTCCTCCTCCTCCTCCTACTCGCGTCTCAATTAACAAGAAATATGGAAACTTACGGAGCAGTTCTTTTCGAATAACAAAAAATAAAGTAAATAAAAAAAAGAGCGGGTACTCACGAAACCCGTCCGTTTCAGACTGTTTTAAGCCTGCTGCGCGAGGGGGAGGCGGGAAAAGAAGCTGCGTGCGATATAAAAGTTACTGCTCGGAGAGGAAAAGACAGGAAACAGGTCCATAGCTGACTCATGACATCACCCGCATTAACAGAGACGGTCGAATGGCGCAAAGTACGAGAGAGAAGATAAACAGACAGGTTTCTACAAGTCACAACACACCACCGACGAGGTGCTCATCTCAAAAAGCACCCCTTAGTACTACCTTACGCTGTTCAAGCAAGAAAACTTATACTCAAGCTGCGTGGAGGTGAACTAAGTGGGTTGTTTTGTTCTGGGCTCTGTTACAGGCGACCACTTCACTGTTTATTGTAGTTGAAGGCAGCGCGGCCTTAGATACGATTGACGTCATTTCTGTAAAACAACAGCAACAATAGGAGCGCCTCTCTGTGAGTGACGCTGCTCTCGGCCAATGGCGTTCGCCGGCGGTTTGACAGCGACCAATCACAGAGGGGAAGTTCGTCTACGTCTGCGTCGCATGTGGCCGAGTCACGTGTAGTTGCAGGATCTGAGGGAGAGGTGTGGTGCTGAACAACACGAGTTGTTTTTGCCGGGATTTAAAGGAGCAACGTCCTGCACATTCTACAGGCTAGATTCACTTCCGAAAGAAAAAAACACTCTACTTTAAATAAGTACACAGTACGCTAGTCTGTTTGGAAATGTACCTGTTTTTTTTTGAGTTTCTGTGCTTATCATAACAGGTCTGCACAAGTCTCTTTACTGTTCTGTACCTCAGGTGTTTCTTTAAAAAAAATAAAATGACTAATACAGCATCTGATATTGGCCTGCTGATTGTGTATCATCACTTGCACTGTGAGCTAAACTGAGTTCTTGTCACTTCTTGTAACATTCAGTCCCACCCAGGTCAGTAATGATAATAAACAGCAAATATGAAGGGAATTTTGTCTGATGCATGTTCTTACTGTAAGAACATAATGAGGTGGTCTATTTACTATTTCTGCCATTGAAAAACATACACAGCCATTTACTAAGTCATAAAAATGAGAAAGCTTTTCATAATTATAACTTAGTATCTCATAATTTTGACTTGCTATCTCATAATAATCAGATATATATTTGCCTCCAGTGGTGGAAACTGACTTCCGTAATGAACAGTTCATTGGGCAGCTTTGAGGTACTTTAGGTATTTTGGTTTCTTGTTAGAATATATATATACGTAAGCTAACTGAGTTTGCATCATTGTATTCCTTATACCTATTGAGCGCACTCAACAAAGCAGATTTTACAGCAGCAATAAAAAGACTCAGGAACTGGAGTTTATAGTGATTTTCTTTTAAAAGACTTGTGAATCATATTCATTAGTAAACACGATCCTTATTATGGTAAGCAATGTGTTGTCAGTATATATATTCAGCAAAGTGGGGAAGGAACAATAAAACTGTCAACTTAAAATGTATACTTAGTCTATCCCATTAAAAACATAACAAGTGATTAATAAATATAAACATACATTGATTTTCATTGAAAATTTTATTGGAAATGTTTTTAAATGATGAGATTATCTTCTCAGCTGATTTGACTTTCTCCTTTCTGTATTTACATTCAGAGTAATTCTGAGTATATTTACATTTAGAGTAATGATTATGCTGATTATTATGTTGGCTCATTGCTTGCCTATGTGTCGGTACTGGAACTGGCCCACTGCATTCCTGAAAGCTTATGAAGTTATGTCTTCAGCTCACACTGTGAAACAAGTGAAACCCTAGATGGACAAAAAACTGCCATGTTAACATCTTCAGATTTTCATGTAGCAGCCGAGACCAGACCACCATTGAATAGAGCGAAGTGACTAAATTCATTGAACCAGTTTAAAAGTTTTAGATGGGGAACAGGCATCCACTTTATATTATGCAAAACTATCATTTTTGGGAAGAAAAAAGAAAAGAAAAAAGAAATATAGTAAAAAAAATTAATACATTTAGCAATTTTTTAAATTTCATTTTTTTTTCCTGCATTGTAATAAATAAAGAAACCTTTCAGCATACTGAGAACTCTTAAAATAAGTGTACTATTACATTCAACCCCTTAAAATCCCAGGCTTACTACTCAGTAACTACAGGGATTTCAATGCAAACTGGTTGAGCTGTTATAGAAATATGTAATAAAACTGGCCTTTTAAGGGGTCAAAAGGAAAATTTCAATCGTGATTTTAACAGTGACTTCAACTGTTGTTTGAAACAGCTGCAATTAAATCTCAAGTTAAGCTTCTACACCACTTCAGGGTCCACAGGGCCAAAATTTATTCACACTGGGATTTAACACAATGAAAATAAATGCAGACATTCAATATAACTGAAATTCAATGTGAGCATACCCACTTATTTCCTACTAATAGCCTGAAAACTGCCTCTAATATCGGTACGACTATCTGCGCCTGTAAACTCAATACATTTTTGTGGGTTTATTCATATCCATGTATTTCTCTGTTTCGATCCTCCTGAAGCTGGCGCTGTCTGTAAAAGTAAAGCCGTCAAGGGCTGGGCACATATAGGCCCACACAGCAAACACTCACTGGCACCAGAGACTTTACTGATTGCTCTAAACCCCTAGACCCCTGCCACCTGTGGTCCTGAGATTAGTGTTAGTCCAGTGGGACATATTTTTGTGTACCCTCACTCTGCTGGATTTTAACGGCCAGCTCTCACTGAATGCTTGAGGTCCACAAAAGCCTTCTGCATGCATTTATACTGTCATTACCTGATTATTGTAAATTCATACCGTCGTCGAGTTCACACACATTGGCTGAACTGTTATCGAACATTTGTCTTTGGAAAAATGGAGATGAGTTGCAGATAATGCCTCACAAACAGTGCAGAGATATTGTCCTGACCTCAAGTTAGTCCACATACATACTAAAACGCTTTGAAAATTAGTTTTAGAATCAACAGTTCAGCCATGAAGATTTACCTGTGCCCACACAGGGCCTATAATTTGCACATGCCAAATGTAAATATTATTGCACATTATCACATAATTTAATAGAGTGCATGGGCCCTTCATGCCAAATGTCAACAACTGACTCCCCCCCCACCCCATATCTCACCTGTATCTACTGAGCTATTGATGCCTTCACAGAACCTGCTGTGAAGGCCTCCTCCAGGTGCCTCTCTCTTCGCTTCGGCTGGGCCACTTCTTCCCTTTCCAACAAGGACACTTCCTTTAACCTTAATACTTCTCTCTCTCTTCTTTCATTCTCGTCTCTCCCTCTCTCTCTCTTTCTGTCTCTCTCCCTCTCTCTTGTTCTTCCCCTCTCTTTTTCTCTTGCTTTCCTCAAAGCCAGACCAGCTGGCTTTGGACGGCTTCCTTCTCGCCCCTGTGAGGCTTTCCTTCACACTCTCTGCCTCCTCTTGTCCCCCGGTCTTTCTGCCGGGAGGGAGCTGGGCGACAGCAGTTTGAAGGGTAGGATCCCAGATGGACACACACACTCTGGGCATGCGTGTGTGTGACAGGGCTTGGCTCAGGGGAGAGCCTGGACCAGCCGCAGCTGTCACTCAGCCACACCGAGGGTGCTGGGTGCGTTTTTGTTTTGTGTTATGATTATTAATATAAGTGAGAAATTGACCCAATAAGGGTCAAACATCATAGGACAAACGCTTGATCCAGTATTAATGCATTAGTGTATCACTAAGGCATCACAAACTGGCTTTTTTTTACTCACTACTCACTTGAAATTATATAATTTCAGCTACAGTTTGATGTATCACATTTATACAATATTGTGCAAGAGACTTTTCATTAATGCCAGTCAAAATGGCCGCTAAGTACAAGTTATTCATTTTTTAAACACATATATTGAACAGATAAACAGAAGCTAAAGTTTTTTATATTTATTGTGTCCACTGTTTGTCTCTATTACAGTTCCCATCTTTTAGGAGACTTTCAGTTTTTTAATCAAATCTGCAGGGATATTTTTCCACACCAAGTTCAGCCTTTGAAGCTGGTTGCATTTTTTTCTGAGTAATCCCAAACACATTCAGTAATGTTGAAGTCTGAACTCTGGAGTGACCAGTCCATTGTTCTGAGAATACCAGCAGCTTCTTTGTTTGATTTGCAAATTTTCTTCCTTTTTATCTATTTTTTTTTCTCAGTAATGGCTTCTTGACAGCTACACATCCTTTCAGACTCAGCTGAGCTGTCCTCTCACAGTGGAAGGATGGACAGAAACACCTGAGATTTTTTTTTCAGATCTGAAGTAAGAGTGGAGTTTGATTTCTTCCTATCTCAAAGATGAAAGTGCTGTTTATCTGATGGTGACAGTTTTGGTGGTCTACAAGGTCTTTCACTTGTTTCCTTTGACTCTAACCTTCCTTATGCGAGTGGATTATATCTAATCTATCTCTTGAAAAAAATGAATACAGTACAGTCATATAGAAAAGATGTGAACACTCAAATCAAATGAAGTGAAAATAAGTTACACATCCTCTGCAGGGAATACGCTTAAATATGGCCTGTTGGTCTAAAAATTTTAGTGCACAATTTCTATTTATTTGCTCAGTTTGAGATATTGAAAAAAAAAAAACATAAAATATAACGTGCATAGGCCACATTCTGTTTTACTTTTCCCAATATGTTATATTTAGCAAATAAACAGTAATTGTGCACTGATATGTGCTGAAGTGTACCAGAGGATGTTATTCGCATTTTCAGTTAGAAGACTTATTATTTAGTAACTACTATGAATGATCTGTTTTCTAATTGCCTGCTATGAAATTAATATATAAATGATGAGTGAGAAAATTAAGTGTAAGTTCACATACACTAACTTTTTTCAATAATATAAAATTAATTTGTTGAATTCACATGTATAAAATGTTATACGTTTTAATATGAAGTTACTACTTTTTAGGTTTCAACTCATTTGTAGGAAATTCTAATAAATGCAGAAATGTTAGATCTTTCCAGAATAATGAATAGAGCTGTAGATGATTCCATAATGACTGAGCTGAATAACATTTAAAATAAAGTTACAAAAAATTAATATCCAAAATGCCTAAATTTAAAAAGTAATGATCAAATCTCAGGTATATTACATATCAAGAAATTACTATGAATAGGTAGTTACAGAATATCTTTTATAATTTATTCTTGATGTTAATAAACATCAAAATATCTTCTATATATATCTAATGTATGGTATATCTACATTATGTGGTATTTTCTGTAAGTTATTTTTTGTAGAATAAAATAACATCAATCATAAATATAACCAGTAATTTCAAACCTTTCGATAGTAATGTACACACTTTTAAGGTTTGAATTCAACAAAAGTTAGAAATGAACAGCCAGAAATAACAATATATATATTTGACC